GGTGAAACGCGAAGAAGAAAAAGGAATTCACCACCAAGTGGCGCAGAACCGGCCAGTCATTCGGCCTGCTTGTTTCTCAACATAAAGGCATACCCTGAGAAATTATCCAAAGGACGCCAGCTAACCGGGACCTATGAAGCGATACATGCCACTCTGCACTGAGAGTGCCTGTCATCAACTTTCTCAACATACTCTGCGTGAGTCAGTTACAGTTACGACAGGTGTGTGCAGCTGATTCTCAATCCAGCTGAAGGCTTTTGGAGAAACAATTTACAGTCCAGGGCTCATCGGGTAGCACTGACCAATATCCTTCCATGTGGATGCTCGATGGTTTGGATGTGATTTATCTTATATTCTCCTTGGGCGCGCTGTTGCTGTAATATTAAATCTTTTTTGAGTTTTTCGTATATTGTTAGGTAGGTAGGAAGTTGTACCGCACCAGAACATCACACAAGCGATAAACACCCGGTGATACAAAGTACCACTAAGCGAATGAGGATCACCCGTGGAGAGGTCCCAGAAACCCCTTTCAGTCGTTAGACCATATCTATGGCTACGCCATATCTATGCACCTACTATTATTCAGGCCTCCGGCAGAAGCCAGGGTGGGGGCTTCAAACAAAAACTTGCATCCCAGGAGGGGACGACTGGAAATTGAGTTTTCATCTGATGGGCTATGTTGCAATACAATTTGTTGACAGTGGATGCAATAAAAAAAAATTTTTTTTTAAATTAATAAAAACTATTTGCTTTGTAAAAACTAAATGCTATCGTAAAAATCACCAGGCAGCTGTTGCAATGCTCTCAGACATGACATTTTGATGAAAAATGCAGACATTAGTTTCATTACAAAACCCAGAAGAATCGAAACAAAAACACATTGACCTAATTATAATAATATGAGAAATGGACTTAATTACACATGTATGGGACTTAATTATATATGTATAGGAGTTAGACATAATTTTTGTCTCTATGGGAGTTTATTTTCATTATACGTGTTTCCGTATTCCACATAATTATACATATATTGTAATTTGACCTAATTCAATATGTTTGGGAGTACGATTTAATAAAAAGCTATATGGAAATCTCCGAGGTTACCCGCTTGCTTAAGCAGTTTGTGCGGCATTCTTGAGGTCATAGGGTCGTTTCACGGACTGCATCGTTCCTTCAAGTGTGCATTAAAAAATAATTGGGGATTGTTGTTGGAGCTACGAGGGTTGTGCTTTATGGGTTCTCTGAAGAGAATTCGTATTCCAGGTTTCAACTTTACTGCAATCAGGTCACCCCACACGCTCCGTTACTGTGGCAGAGAAAATCAAATGAAATGTCCTTCACTGTCCCAGTTGAAAAATTGGTGAACAAACTAGTCCAGGTAATCTCCATAAATATATGAACGCAGTAAATGGATAAGGTAGTTGCTATAGGCACCAAAGCCAACGGTCACCACCAGAAATACAGTTTGTCTGTGATGGACGAAGTCGGTCCCCAACAGCTGGTGGACTCAGGTACCTTTATTACATAAGGTGTTTAACCAGCCCACATGCAAATAAGCTACAAGCCATACTGAATATCACGATGTAAAGAAAACAAAAAACAGCTCACAGTCTTACACCAAGCACTCAACTCATTTGTTTAGGCAGCATAACTGTAGCTCCTGTACATATGTGAAAACGGCACACACACACACACAAAAATTCGAAGCTAAATATTCTGCCATGCCCAGTCCTCCAACTGAGCTGGAAGTCTATCTGGGGAGACCGAGCCATATAGGGTAACATCTAGTGCCACAAAGTTGATCCAATCAACTTTAGACCTGCTATTATGTCCGTATAGCCCTGCTGGAGTTTTAGTCAGTCATCAGCGAATTAACTTAAACATATTTCAGGAGCTGTTACTAAAATAATTATATACAATTCAAACTGATTGATTTATTGGAAGAAAAAAAAACAGTTGGTCATATTCTCGAGCCAGAAAAAATGCAAATATAACGTATGCATCTTGATAGAATTATTTAGTTAGTTAGTTTAGTTAGTTAGTTAGTTAGTTAGTTAGTTAGTTAGTTAGTTAGTTAGTTAGTTAATTAGTTAGTTAGTTAATTAGTTGGTTAGTTATGTTTTTTTATAGTTTTAGTTAGTTAGTTAGTTAGTATTTAGTTTTTTTTTAGTTAGTTATTTTAGTTTAGTTAGTTAGTTTTAGTTTTTTAGTTAGTTTCGTTCGTTCGTTAGTTAGTTAGTTAGTTAGTTAGTTAGTTAGTTAGTTAGTTAGTTAGTTAGTTAGGGTTATCATCATTGCTCTCGGGGGAGGGGGTGGGTCTTTATCCTCTTCTCAGAATGATTCCAAGCGACCGATGGCTAATAGCACCAGTTTTTTTTTGATTAACAAGTCCTCTTATGTGTCGGGTGTGCCTCTCGCATTTTGCTAGGCCGATCTTAACCCAAAGTCTATCATTCTGGCGAGCGATGTAGATGTACTGCCCCTAATGTCCTCCACCCTTCCCATTTCTCAGAGGGCATTAATAATATCAGCAAGATCCATAGGTCGATCGTCAGTATTTAAAGCGGATTCAGCCAACCTATCAGATCTTTCATTTCCATCGACGCCGGCGTTTCCATGAATGAAAACAAAAGTGACTGCATGCACAATGGACTTTTGTTATGGCTTAAGCCATTGTCTTCTCACCGAACCTACTTAAACCTCCGGATCATAATCATTGAATCACTGAGTACACCCGCGCATGTGTACTCAGTTTCATATGTTAAATGTATTAATGTATCATTAAATCTAATAGAATTTACCTATTTTGGTGTGCAGTTGTTTCGTAGCAAGAATGCTGCTGTTGGGAGGGGATTTGGGGGGGGGGGGGTAGTTATTAGCCTTCTACGTGACTGTAACTGATATTAAATGATGTTTGCAGCAACCAGCGGGCACATATTCTTGTGATGAATGGCTAGCTGACTGTAAATTGTTTATTCCAAGAGACCTAAGTCTTCTTCCTCTCCAAATTCCTCTGACTGCCGTCTTCTCCTATGTTGCTGGTCCCGTATTTCGAACTCGTCTGAAAGAAACAAATACACCGTTAGTAAAAATATATATTCATTGCTACGGAAAAGCAAGATAGAAATAAAGAGGAAAGAGCGAAACGAAACATTTCTTTATCTACCCACTTCACAGGCAGACATGCATATATATTTACCCACTCACCTACTATGTCAGCGAGGTTGATAAACAGACAAACAAACATATCTACTCTATCGTCAGGTGTGCCAGTGAGACTGACAGGCAGATAAACAAACAGACAAATAAACGAATGCAGCTACTCATCCAGTGTAATGCCAGTTTATTTTAAACCTGTTCGTTAAACAAGCAAACGCTTTTTTTACGACATTCACCGCCTGCCTAAGAAAATTGATGCTTGCTTGAATGCCTACGACGACCTTATCTGACCAACCCATGTGTATTATTCATTCAGAATGAATACCGTGTTTAATTTTGCAACAGCTGTTGACGTTTCATTCGTGCTTTTGTAATGCAGCCAATGGGGCGAGTTTCAAATGACGGCGCCAGTTATGCCAGTAGTAGACATGTGTTGATGCAGGATGTAGTCAACATCAATCCATCGCCTTTACGTCACATGATTCCACCTCTCCCATTCACAGCTGGGCCTGCCTCAGAGTAAGGATCATGTATGAAAATATTCGGCTCGATGCGGTTTTCAATCCACGACCTTCAGATCAGCAGGCCTGCGTCTAGCCTCAATACCACGACGACTTCCGAAACAGACAAAGAAAAGAAGGTAAAGTTCCTTTTTTACGCATCGGGCATATGGGAAAAGCACCTTTATTTTCACAGATCAATCGGCACTTGGTGGGTAATGTGGTCAGAATTACGCAGGCCGTCTTTACTTTTCCGGGACATACATCCTGGTATCCATTTTAGGCTAGGTCGACCTGCGATGCCCCATACTATGATAAAAATCCACGCAGCCAGCAGTGGGTTGCGAACGCGGTACAATGCAATTACGAGTCGGACTCGCAACGCCTAAGCCAAGCAACCCGCCGAAACAGGCGTGCAGAATAAATAACCCAACACATCTATCTTCCTTATTAAACAGCAATTCATGAGGGATAGATAGACAGACAGATAGATAACATCACAGAAAAGACGTATTGACAGAGAGATCCAATAACCCACACATCCAGGTAGTCAGTAAGCTAGGCAGGCAGATAAACAGACATACTGGTAAATGAATAGAAATACGAGTAGATGGACCCAGAGCTTCTGTTTCCCTCGCAGAACGTAAAGGTATTTAGTACCAGTACCTCTTTGGGCATCAGTATTTTCAGCGTTAGTGTAATAGACTATGGGGTGAGTAGCCACACTATTGTAGACGCTTTTTAGTAAGTACCATCACCTTTGTTTTCTAGGAAACGCTAAGGAGTATTGTTGGATCTTTTCTCCTGGGTATGCCGGTGTTTTGGGAAATGAACAGGCAGACAGACTGACTGGATCTGCACAAACTGTTAGTATATTGATGCATGATACGGGAGACGTGGTCTTGTGTGAGAACGTGTAAAATTCGGAGGAGCAAATGGATCAGCGCAGTCTAGTGAGAGTGGTGCAATGGGGAGTGACGAAGGGATCTAGCCGATACTCGACGTTCAGAGGAAAGGCAAGGCGGACGTATAATCAATGCTGCTGCTACGATGGACAATAGTGATGCTGAAGATGGGGGACGGAACACTTATGGGACTGTTGTGATGTCGGTTCTGGAACCAACACAACTCAAATCAGGTAAAGAAAAGCCATAGACCCATTCACGAACACACATATTGAGATAAGAAAAGCACAGACATCACGTGAAGCGGAGTGGCAGACAAATATATAATAAAATAATTTACATTGATTATTACGCAATATGAGGCCGAACGAGTAAGAATGCAGGTGTCTCATGCAGTAGACCCTAGTTCAAATCCTCTGTAAATTTGGAGATTTTTTTTAATGTGTCGGAGACACAAATAAAACCCTAACCTGCACAGACCGTGGCGACAGCACAACCGTTCGGCCCTAAATCTGCTGGCTTAAAACGAAAAAGTGGTAAATACAGTTATCTGCCTTTATTTTTTAAATGGTAAATTGCTCACCGCATGAGCTGTCGGACTCTAGACCATCGGTATCGTCGCTGAGATCTTCGTTGTCGCCTTCAGCAGTCGTCGGTTGTCGTTCCATTGGCTCGTAGGTGATCGTCATTACTTGGTCTGTGG